AAATGCACATCGAGGACCGAGCATCGAGCGTCGAGGAGGCTCTCTGGAGGAGCTATAACCGAGGATACACTGATGGGTCCTCCACGGTCCTCCACGGCTCCTTCGTGGATGCATTTCCGGCAACAGAGATGTTTCAAAGAGTCGTGACGCACGGCCGGACTTATCTCAGCCAATCACAGCTCTGCATGCATCCCCTGGATATTATTTTATTAACTGCTTTCATCGCGACGCGATGTTTACAGTGAGAACAGCTGTGAGGTCTGTGCAGAAAGCAGAGCAGTGTGTAAAATATATATCACTCAGTATAACAGGCCTACTCTCTTTATTTGCTTTAGTTTAGTAGATATCTACAAACAAAGTCGATATTTTTCTAAAACCATTTAGTGCTTCACATAATAAAATACACAACGGCTGTAGCCTGATTATGCTTTAGGAGCTGTAGGTGCGTGTGTGTGGTGTAGGTGTGTGTGGTACAGTGTGTGCGTAGATGCAGCGGACAGACAGGTCTCAGTTGGTTTGGTGTCCTCTGCTTACTTTTAATACTTGTAAATAAAACTTTTGGCCCGTCATTTATTTCCCTCATTGTAGCGACCGGAGAGGGGGGGGGGGGGGGATATATCCAGTCTCTGATAGTGTTACGTTATTATGAGAGTGCTGTTTGATTCTGAAATTGTATATATTTATATAAATATTAGGGCTGTCAGTCGATTAAAATATTTAATCGCGATTAATCGCATGATTGTCCATAGTTAATCGCGATTAATCGCAAATTAATCGCACATTTTTTATCTGTTCTAAATGTACCTTAGAGGGATATTTTTCAAGTTTTTAATACTCTTATCAACATATGAGTGGACAACTATGCTTTATATGTTTGTTTATTATCATTTGAACAATGACAAATATTCTCATGAATATTAAACACAACAACCTCTGAACATTACAAATATTCGCCTCAATTCAACCTAGAACCTCTCTCATACAATAATACAATACTGTGTGTGTGTGGTGTGTGTGTGGTGTGTGTGTGTGTGTGTGTGTGTGTGTGTGTGTGTGTGTGTGTGTGTGTGTGTGTGTGTGTGTGGTGTGTGTGTGTGGTGTGTGTGTTGTGTGTGTGTGTGTGTGTGTGTGTGTGTGTGTGTGTGTGTGTGTGTGAATGTGGAGGATCGTTGGAGCTATGTGCAGCTCAAGGCATATGAGTGGCCTGTGTGTATGAGCTGTGTTGCGGCACTATCCGTGCTGAGTGTGCTGTCTGGCTACCTGCATAAAGTCAAGTGCTCGGCGCAGTTGTCGGCGAAATGTCGCTCCTCTGTTTTCATTGAAACAGCTCCTTATATCCGTTAGCTCAGCTAGCTAGCACCAGATGCTAACAACAACACGTAAGGTGTGCTTCGCTCGCGCCACACATACACACACCCTCCCGGTCCTCCCGATGGCCAGTCCGGGCCTGCTGGTGAGCGTGGAAGTGTGGTCTGCCACAAGCGGGCAGCAGGAGCGGGGCTGTCAGCATCAGCTTGTAGATGGTATTTTAAACTCGATGCGCTCTGAAACTACGGCGGCCGAGGACAAAAAATACACATGCGTTAATCGCGTTAAAATAATTAGTGGCGTTAATTTTTTTTTGCGTTAACGCGTTATTAACGCGTTAACTTGACAGCCCTAATAAATATATACATGTGTGTGTGTGTGTGTGTGTGTGTGTGTGTGTGTGTGTGTGTGTGTGTGTGTGTGTGTGTGTGTCTGTCTGCATCTGTAGCCTGTTATTGTCTCATTATACCGCACTGTGAATGAATTCAAAGTAAATATATAAGTCGTCATGAACACATCTGTCCATCAGACAGAGTGCTGCTGTGCCTCCTGTCATCATTAATGGACGTCTCTTTAAAATGACCGCTCAGAGGAGAGGATTTCTCATTTCTCTAACCGCCTGCTGCTTCCCCTCCTTTCTCCTCGGCTCCCCTCCTCGGCTCCTCCGCTCGCATCTCCTGTGGGCGGGACTAAGTCTCGAGGATAGGAGTTGAGGAGGGGAGTCGAGGAGGGACATTTGATGAAATGAGAACGGGCCCCTGTGTTTGCCTTCCTGTCGTTAGTTTCCCTGGTGTGTCTGATTGTCTAATTAGTGCGAATGCTGTGCCACAGCATTCCACTATAGTACTTCAATTCTTTATTAGTGCGAATGCTGTGCCACAGCATTCCACTATAGTACTTCAATTCTTTATTAGTGCGAATGCTGTGCCACAGCATTCCACTATAGTACTTCAATTTCTTTATTCTTCCCCTTATTTCACCAATACTTTGGCTCTCCATAACTTCAGCTTATTTTCAGCTACAGAAACCATTCAAATATCAAACTATTCAGCCTGTTCAGGAATCGATGGGAAACCTTCAACGTTTTAAAAATGTTACACTTTTTGAAATATTCAGCTTTTTAAACTCTTTTTTTTAACATTGAAGTCAATGGGAGATGCCTTCAAATCCTCTTTTCCTACACTTTGCGCCAAATGCTACTCCTTCCACATACTTTCAGCTAGACACTTCATTCCAACTTTCAAATGAGCACAACACCTTCAGCTATTCAAACTTGACTTTTATCTTTGATATCTTTTACACTTTTTGAGATAATTAACTTTGTTTGGAGCTTGGTAAAGAGGCTTTTTTCAGATTTTAACATTAGTGTGGATGGAGCAGCTCGTTAAGTCTAGAGTGCTTTGATCTCAAAACAGAGTGCAGCAGTTCTTCAAATTCTCCCCCAAAAATGTTTTAAACTTGCCATAATTCCCAAACCCTACACTCCTCAGACATATTTTTTCATGAAAAACGTAGGAAAACCTCTCCTAGGTTGGAAAATGAAAAAAGATTAAGAAGAAATATTAAACAAAATGCCTCTTGAGGGCATTAAGTGACAAAAACGTTCAACATGTCTCCATTAAAGCCCATTGTAATTTCAGGCAGATATTTCCTCACAGCAGCAGCCGCACACCTTTCTTAAACTGCCAAAAAGGCCACATTATTAACCCGAAAGTACACAAAAATTACACTTCAGATACTCAACTTCCTTGACATGCTTCACGTTTTGAAATTTCCCAGATATCTGTTATCGTTCTTCCACAAAACGTTCACATGTAAGAGGTTCATCTCTCATTCAGAACAATGAAGCCTTTGATGTATACATAGCTCGTTAGCTCAACTATCAACACCTGTGTTTGAACACGATGATGTCATCACTCCAACTGACAGCAGTCAGTTCTAACTGTTGATTTCATTCTCTCTCTCTCTCTCTCTCTCTCTCTCTCTCTCTCTCTCTCTCTCTCTCTCTCTCTCTCTCTCTCTCTCTCTCTCTCTCTCTCTCTCTCTCTCTCTTGAACAGGTGACAAAATTGTCAGATATACTCCTCAATGCATTCTTATGGGACTCAGTGATGCAGTTGGTTGTCTTTGATCTCTGGACACACACACAGGTGTTATGATTGGGTGTTATGAGTAGGTGCTCAGGAACAGAAACAACACTGACAGACTGGACTTTAACAGACTGTCTCAGCCTATTATTTTCTGTCTGATGGAGACTTCATACTACTTACATCTGATATTTAACTCCTTCAGCCTAATTTCAGCTGCAGAAACCATTCAACTATTAACTTATTCAGCTATTTCAGGACATTGAGGCTATCAATGTTGTTGTTTATACCTTTTTTAAACCTTTTCTTTTAAATATTAAGCTTCTTCACTATTTTTCCTACTCTGCAATGCATTTGAGCTGTAACCATTTTGATTCAAATCATTTCACTTTTCTGCATTTCTCCGCTAAGTTCAGCAACACACATTCTTGGTTTTTGTAGCTACAAGCAGCATCTAATCAGAGCAGACATGCCCACAGACAGACAGACAGACTTGCATGTAATATCTTTATTTAACTCCTTCAGCCTAATTCCAGCTGCAGGAACCATTCAAATATCAAATTATTCAGCCTTTTCAGCACATGATGGGAAACTTTCAACTTTTTCAAAATATGTTATACTTTTTAAAATATTCAGCTTTTTAAAGTCTTTTTTTTAACATGGAAGTCATTGCAATGCATTTGAGCTGTAACAATTTGATTCAAATCATTTCACTTTTCTGCATTTCTCTGCTAAGTTCAGCAACACACTGACTTGGTCTCTGTAGCTAAAAGCAGCTACCATTCAGCTAATAACATATTCAGCTTTTTCTGCATTTTCAGCTAAATTCAGCCACAAATGTTCACAGTTTACAGCATTCACACGCATTTTCTGCAGGAAATGCATTTTCTAGTTTGTATTTATCTATCAGCTGATGTAATATATTGTATTCATTTGAAACAGAGATGCACACAACTTATTGAAAATGTTTTCCTCTCATATATTTCAAGTTTACCTCCCAAATGGGAGGGCCTCAATCTGATTTCAGTTTAAATTCTAATTTATTTAATTGTGACATCAACGGCAAGGAACAACCCTCCTCAATTATTTGTTGATGATGTTTTTTGTACTGTTATATTCCATATAATGTGACCCTCCCTAAAACACATTGAGAAAATGACATAACAGCATATCTTCTCAGCGATTCAGCAATAATGCAAAGTGAATGGCAGTGAAGCTTGGTGCGGGGCGCCCCCTGCTGGGGGGGGGGGGGGGGGGGGCTGCAGCTCTGCGTGCTGCTGCACCAAAGTCTGCACAGCGGGGCTCGCGCGGCTGTTACACGTACAGATGTCCGAACATGATCCATATTCAGACGCAATAACGGAACTATCCGACCACCCCCCCGCCCCGCCCCCGCAGTCTGAGGAGATGCATTCTTCTATTTCAGTCACTTTTATATTTTTTCATCTCCATATCAAACTGCATTACATCGAGACTGGGGGAACCATCATGCCCCACAGACTGGCACCAATGAAACTGACGCAAACACCAATCCATGTCTATCAGCCCACTTTAGTAATGTGAAATAGAAGGATGCATTAAAAGGATGCAGATGTGTGTGTGTTACCTGCAGGATAGTGGTCAGATGAGCAGAGAAGCAGAGAAGCAGAGAGGAGCAGTCCCGCGCGCTGTGCGTCCTCCCCTCCGCACACCTTTCCCTCTCGGACCGTAAATCAAATCCTGAGCGGGATCACTGACAAATGCTTTTATCGCATCCATCTGCTCGCCTATCAGCCCGTCTGCATCCACCCCCACACACACACACACTCACACACTGCTTCCACAGTGCATATCTATACCGCAGGAACAGGAGCATCATGACTCAACGCCTATTGGTTAATTAAGGCTGGTGACGTGCAGGGTGTTGCAGCGTTACCCACCATTCAGTAACATTTCTCCTCTTTCTGCAGAGGTGAGGAGACGGTCCGAAATCCATTTATTCATACAGCCCGAGGGTTTACAGTGTCTTTACCTGACTGATGATGTCTCCGCATTTGGACACCTTGAAATGTATAAAATACATATTCAAAGAGATAAAAACAGCAAAACATGACATGTAACACAAGCAGGGTGAATATAAAAAGAGACATGAAAAGCAGACACGTGTGAGGGACTGAGGGTACAAAAGCAGTAGTATTTAAATGAACAAACAGAATGGATTACACTTGGCTGGTCTGACAGGTGAGTCTCAAGCTGTGATTTGAAATGACTGTGCCCTGCCCCTTGGTCATAATTCATGGTTGTGGGAGTAACGGATTATGTAATCAGGATACAAATAAAAAGTAAATGTTCCCTTACAGTTAATTTAAAAAATATTTAATCAGATAATTTACATTTCAAAAACATTGGGATTACTGCTCGGATTACAATCTCCTTTCTGATCCTGAATATCTTGGTTTCTTCTTTTCTAAGGTCACATTGTTCTGTTGTCTTCCATAATCCCTTGGGGGATTAATAAAGGTTCATCTTCTTATTCTTTTCCTGAGTGATTTGTTGTTGCTGACTCTGCCTGTTTTGGACCTACCTGTTTCTGGATTCCCCACTGAATGTCTCAGCCTTCTGTCCCCTTCTGTCCCCCCCCTGTTCTGGGGGCTGCTAGGCGTTTCACCGGTTCGTGTTCCAGTGTGAGAACAAGGTTTATTGCAGAAGCTTTGAATGGTTTGGATTTCTAATGAATTAGCTGTCCTCCCAGTCCATATTGAAATTGCCCAACACAACAAGTTTTTACAGATTTAATGAATGAATTCAGCTGCAGCGGTTTGCAGTAGGGACAGAGCTTCTTAATAATAATAATAATTCCTTACATTTATTATAGCGCTTTACAAATACACATTACACACATATCATGGTCATGTACTATGGACAATACCCACAGGAGCAAATTCAGGTGAAGTGTCTTGCCCAAGGACACAACGGCTTTACAGACGCAGCGGCGGGTTTCGAACTGGTGTTCCCCAATGCCCCCTTGATCTGATGATCAACGCACAGCCCACTGCGCCACTCCGCCCATCTTCACAGCTAGAAGTCATCAAGGCGCATTACAAGTACACATTACACACATATCATACATGTAACAGTCATGTACTTTGGACAGTACCCACAGGAGCAAATTCAGGTGAAGTGTCGTGCCCAAGGACACAACGGCCTGGTGGCGGTGGGTTTCGAACTGGAGTTCCCCAACGCCACCCTTGATCTGATGATCAACGCACAGCCCACGGCGCCACTCAGTCGCTGGCTGACACAGGAGAAAAGATCAATGCAATAGTCTAAGCAACAAAAATGAGGGCATAAATTAGTAACACCAGATATCTGTTGTGTTGTGGAGTTGGTAGGTTTTTGCAAGCTTGTTAATGTGAGGGTCAAAATTGAAATTGTGGTCAAAGATAACACCCAGGTATCCTGTAGAGCAGGGGTAGCCAACACGGTGCCCGCGGGCACTTAGTCGCCCGCAGGGGCAACGTGAGTCGCCCGCTGGGCATGTTCTAAAAATAGCTCGCCAAGCAAATCCAAAATGTAAAAAATACACAAAACAAAAAAGGAAATGTAATTAAAAGAATCTACCCTATGCATAAACGAAACCTAAATCATAGCGAACTCTATCTACTTACTACAACTCTATATCTATCTAACACCCCTCCTCCCCCAACCACAATGAATATCGACCAATCACGTTCTTGCTTGCTTTGCGGGACCAGCGTTGCAGTCTGGAAGAAAAGCAATGTGGAGCGGCAGCTCCCATCTTCATAAGGAGTTTGACCTTTCCTTCTGGCAGAATCTACACCACACATCAGCCCCATTGAACAGCCTATCATGCCAGCCTATACAACACATGAGGGGCAGAGCTTTACTCTGTTCGTGTTGCAACTTGCATATATATTTATTGCACTTGACGCACACACACGCATGGCGTAATTTCCACTGGGGACAGGGGGGACATGTCCCCCCCCACTTTTAGAAATCCCGTTTGTGTCCCCCCACTTTACAAATATGTTTATTATTATTTTTTAACGCAAGCCGTCATCGCCACGGAGGAGCACACAGCCTCTGTGAGCGAGCGAGACAAAGAGAGAGAGAGAGAGAGAGAGAGAGAGAGAGAGAGAGAGAGAGAGAGAGAGAGAGAGAGAGAGAGAGAGAGAGAGAGAGAGAGAGAGAGAGAGAGAGAACACCTTTATCTATTTAATATAGATAAAGTAAGAAATCATTCCAATGTGTATAGGACAGTAAAAAAACTAAAAACAGTTTAAAGGTGAGTGATTAGTAAAATATGCATGAATAGAAAGAAAGAATGCTAACTAGGTAACATAAGATAAGAATAAACCAGTTTAAATGATTTGTTATTGGTTGTGATCATATTCTAAAGATGTTTGGATTATTGAAAAGTATACAGCTCTCTTTCATCTGAGTGTTGAGAGCTGTTTCCATCAATTCATGTTGTGCTCAAAGTGCTCCAGATTGATGCTTTTCACTTCAACATTTAAAAATAATCTTCCCGGGGGTGCATGCCCCCCTAGAGGAGGTGAGGTCCCTCCTGGAGGAGGTGTGGACCCCCCTAGAGGAGGTGAGGTCCACCCCCAAATAAAGCAGGTTAAAATAATTAAATTTAATACATGTTATTTTAGTAAACACAGAAAACGGGTCCCACAGACCCAAACAGCACAAAAAGGTTAAAGGTCAGCATATCATAATGTTAAAATGTGCTAAATATATACACTGCAAAAAACAAAAAATAGAGGAGTAAAAGTAGCCCCCGACTTGTTTTATTTTGTGAAAGTAGCCCTCACCCTAAAAAAGGTTGGTGACCCCTGCTGTAGAGGGTTTAACATTAGAGGCCAGAGGGCAGATGCAGGATTTTATATCATATACAAAGTTGGCAGGAGCAATGGAAAGAACCTCGGTTTTGTTTGAAATTAGATAAAGAAAAATAGATGACATCAATCCCTTGATAGCAACCAGGCAGTTATGGAGGATACTTATATTACCTATGTAATTTTGCTTAACTGAAAAGTAGATCAAAGTGTTGTCTGCATAATAATGGTGGGAGATACAAGACTGACTATGCGGGTCACCTTGTGGTAACATGTTTTGGGAGAAAATCCTGGGACCGAGTACTCATCCCTGTGGAACTCCACAAAGTAAAGGGGTAGTTAAGGATACAGAGTTGTCTATAGCAGTCTCTAACTGCTTGTATGATAGATAGGATGACAATTAATTGAGAGCCCAAGGTATCAACCCACTTATTGATCCATTCAACCAGAATGGGGCGATCAATAGTGTCAAGGTCAAGAAGGACCAGGAAAGAATGGTTCCGTTGTCAGCCCGCATGATCAATTGTCACTCTTAGCATTGCAGTTGTTGTGCTTAGTTGAAGAAAGGTGAATCTGAATGTATTGACATTTTTAAAAAGTTAGGTTTCTAAAAAAATGTGAACGCTCTTTTTATTGTCACACACATACACAGCATACACAGGGAAATGTAGACTCTACATTTAACCCATACTAGTATTAGGAGCAGTGGTCAGCTCTTATATAAACAGCTCCCTGGCACCTCTTCAGGTTCGCACCCCGTACTTCCTCTGTTCAGGGACTTGAACAAGCGACCCTACGGTTTCAAGGACAACTCCCTAAGGACTGAGCCACTCTTGGTTTGATTGATAAAATTAGATTGAATTATATTGATTTTGTTAACAAAGAAAGACATAACGTTTATACTGTTAGCTCAAGGATTTACAGGCCAGTCATTGGTGTTTAACAGGAACCAAGGATTATGTTTGTTGTCAGGCTTGCAAAGTAGTCCGTACATAGTCTTTTAATAATAATAATGATAATAGCTTGCATTTATATAGCGCCTTTCAAGGGACCCAAGGTCGCTGAACAGTGATGGGGCAAAAACAAACATAACAAAACAAAAGTCAGACAGACAAAACAACAGATCGATTAGGGGCCGAAAGCCTTGGCAAACAGATGGGACTTGAGGGCCCTTTTGAAGGTGTCGAGTGTGGGGATGTTGCGAATCTCCGCAGGGAGAGCGTTCCAGAGGGTGGGGGCTGCCACACTGAAGGCTCTGTTCCCGAAGGTTCGCAGTTTGGTGCGGGGGGTGGTGAGCAGGCCAGAGTCTGAGGACCGCAGGTCAGGGTGGGGCATGTGGGTGAAGGATGTCCGATAGGTACTGGGGGGCAAGGGCATGGAGGGACTTGTAGGTGAGGAGGAGTACTTTGTAAGATATACGGGACTTGACCGGCAACCAGTGTAGGTGGATGAGGGTGGGAGTGATGTGCTGCCACGGCTTTGTGTGTGTGAGTACCCTAGCAGCACAGTTTTGAACATACTGGAGCCTGTCCAGGGTTTTTTTGGGAACCCCGAACCGGACACCATTGCAGTAGTCCAAGCGGGTGGTGACAAATGCATGAACTAGGGTTTCGGCAACCGACTCCGAAAGTGACGGTCGGAGTCTGGCAATGTTCCTCAGGTGGAAAAAGGCCGATTTGGTCACAGATTTAACGTGGGAATGGAAGGAAAGGGTGGAGTCAAGGATGACACCCAGGTTGCGGGCTTCAGGAGATGGGGAGATGGGGCAGCCGTCGACCTCGAGGATTTTGATGATTGATTTGAATGTAAAGTATAGCTTTCATGTGTAGAATGAATTGGAAAGGAGGTCCTCTCTGCCAAACGTGTAGTTAGCTTTCTGTACATTGTTTGCTTACTGAGTAGTTTTGTATCCCAGTAGGATGACAAGCAGCAAAGAGTTCA